AGGGGGGGGGGGGGGGGGGGGGGGAAGGGCAGGAGAGCCAGGGCGCAGCGAACGGGGCTGGTGCTGCTGCTGCAGCAGCAGAAACAGAAGCTGCAGCAGCAGCAGCAGCAGCAGCAGCAGCACCCAACAACGCGAACGAACAGCCCCCAGGGGACGCAGCGGAAAAAGAGCCCAAGGGCAGCAGCTGAGGGAAGGCGGGGAGTCTAGCAGCAGCTGCTGCTGCTGCTGCTCTCTGCTGCTGCTGGGAGCAGCAGAAGCTGCAGACAGCAGCAGCAGCCGCGGCTGCTTTTCCCCGTTGCTGCTGGGAGCAGCAGACGCTGCAGACAGCAGCAGCAGCCGCAGCTGCTGCTGCCTGTTGCTGCTGGGAGCAGCGGAAGCCGCAGACGGCAGCAGCAGCAGCAGCCGCTGTCTGCTGCTGCGGGGAGCAGCAGACGCTGCAGACAGCAGCAGCAGCTGCTGCTGCTGCTCTTTGCTTCTGCTGGGAGCAGCGGAAGCCGCAGACAGCAGGAGCAGCTGCTGCTCCTCGCCGCTGCTACAGACAGCAGCAGCTGCTGCTCTGTGCTGCTGCAGACAGCAGCTGCTGCTTTCTGCTGCTGCAGAGAGCAGCAGCAGCAGCAGCAGCAGCAGAGAGCAGCAGCAGGTCACCGTGTGCATGCAATTAAGTGATCGCCAGTGGGGCGGCAGCACTTGAGGCATTTGCTGCACAGTAGTGTTTGGGGTGTACGTACACCTCAGGCAACGCCGCGTTTCCTGCTTTCTGGCAGGGCCTCCAAAGACAAACAGAAAAATAAAAATAAAATGAATTAAATTAAAATAAATTAAAATATATTAAAATAAAATAAAGTGAATTGGATTAAAGTAGAATAAAAGCGATCTTTTTGCTGCTGGAAGTCTCTAGAAAGAGCAGAGCTGGCGCACTCGCCAGGTGTACAGACACCACAGAGGCAGACCACAGAGTCTTTACCGGCAGTTTCAGTCAATACAGAGCGCAAAAGCAACTCTAAGCAGCAGCAGCAACTGCTGCAGCAGCTGCAGCAGCAACTGCAGCAGCAGCAGCAGCAGCAACTGCAGGAGCAGCAGCTGCGTCTGCCGTGCAGTGCGTTGCGCGCAGCAGCAGCAGCTTCTGCCGCAGGCAGCTTCCCGCTGCAGTTCCCTCTCGCGCCGCAGCAGCAGCTCCCCAACCCCCCCCCCCC